AAAAAATCTGCCGAGCTGTTTCGTTTTTATTCCTTTCACATGAAATATTTAGTTATGAAAAGAGAGAAGATTTATTAGTTTTCWGTCGCCGCAGGTTTTTCGCTTCATCGATCTATATCAAGGTTTCTGGGAAAATCTCCTACAGTTAGCAATATGTGGACAATCAATCTTTTCCACAATCATTTTTATCATCATCCATTAGCATTGAAAAGAACAAGTCAAACTGAAAAAACGAAATAAAATTATCATTAAGAACCAAAAAGTGTTTTTGATATTCCTTCGTCACGCCCCAGTAATCTATCCATGGCTTTAGGTGATGTAGACTGGCGCCAGCACTTCAAACGTAAAAACAGAGCACTCTCTTTAATATCACCATCGATATTTTTCAAGTATTCGCATTATTGATCGGATTATGCTTTTATTTTCTTTAGATTGAACACGAATATTTATCAGTCAAGAAATATTGTTCTTGCGAGGCTAGCTTTGCGCGTCTTAAAGTAACTGAAATAATCTTGAATTTTTGTTAGCTTTTTGACATTTTTTATAACGAATCCTATGAATTTTCGTCTTTTCTTTCRCTACAAAAATTTGATAATAAAATATAAAAATAATATGAATTTTTTCCTTTACTGAGTTTTATTGGTATTTCTTTTCAATGCCTCATTCTACAAGAATTGGAAATAAACGGAATATTATTTGAAAATATTCTTAATAAGAATTGAGGTTATTTTCAAAATATCTACATAACATAAATTGCACAAAATCTTAGGCGGAAGTGAGCTAGTCGATTTTATTCAGATGAGTTCATACCGCAGTCAGGCACAGAGCAGTCAATTAGATTAACCTCAGATAAAGGGACAGATAAAGGTACATTCTGATCTAGCTTGAGAAATAACGAGCCTTTWATTGATTACTGGTTCCCAGGCCCACAACCGCCATGTTGGGCGAGGTCTCWGCTCTAAGAAGATCKAACCCRRTKGGATGAATRCAATAGAACGAGAAACAATAGAACGAGTCAACAATAAAAACAATTGGTTGTTTTTGGCCAATCTCGATGGCTCTTTTTAGCGGGTGTGGCATTACTGGCCATGTTGAGTGACCATTACRAAAGATTAGTTCCTTCCCTAAATGGATAGACTGCAATATGACGTCATATCATAGTGACGTCATAGGGGTGATGAGCGTATCTGTCATGTACTCTAATTTATGATATATTTACATTTACAATGGCAGGTGATTCAGGTACAAGTCACACCCATGCCATCACCGAGGGAATCRCCTATACAAACAAGACCTTCAATCGATAGCATTACTACAATCCAGAAGAATGAAGACCCTGACACTGAACCAATAGAGACCTACGAAGGGTCAATTAAGGATAGTATTGACTCGTCACATGGCTTCCAACCTGATAGAACTACAGCTATTGATCATTCCAAAACAAACGAAACGTTCGACAAAGATGATGAGTTGCYGGTTACAAATCCATTTACACAGGACGCCAAGGATAAACAAAACTCGCCGCATAAAGCGAAAACGAACGATGCCAAAAACGTGAGAACTAAGAATGGAATTATTCAAAAAAATACGCATTCGAAACCAAGTGTTAAGAAACATGGAAGAACGTTTAAGCCTGTYGAACATATAGACCTTGGAGATAAAACTATATCAAAGGTACCGAGGTGATAGATAGATAGTAATGTGTCCCACACGTTATAACCTGATCAACGGTACCTTTATGGTCCTGCATGGAGCGAGTTGGTTCCTGGTTGGTGTCAGCGGTAAACCTTGCTTAAGCATGCGCTCAGCTTCAACCTTCCCATGATGCATCAGAAGTGTTTACAATCTGAGTGCTGTATGCGCCAAGATCTGGAATCAATCGACATGGAAATGATATCTCAGTACGTTTAAACCATTCACGTAAATAATATTCTACAGCTGCACTTATGGAAGTATCAATCAAATTGAAATGTTTAGCAAAATTTTGCAATTCGATCTCTTCTTGACGTCTTTTTACACTCAGATTTGAACAAGAACATACTTCGCAAGGACTTCATAAACGGTATGACGGAYACCTATTCAAATCACGGGTGCGCGACCTTACTCAACYAACCACTGGATTTTCTAAGAGGAGTCATGGCCATAACTGTTCAGTATCACGTGACTTTGGATGATCCGTCACATGACGATTACTGTTCAGTATCACGTGATTTTGAGTGATCGGTGTCACATGACCATTACTGTTCAATATCACGTGACTTTCGGTGATCTGTCACATGATGATTACTGTTCAGTGTCACGTGATTTTGAGTGATCGGTGTCACATGACCATTACTGTTCAATATCACGTGACTTTCGGTGAGCTGTCACATGACGATTGCTGTTCAGTGTCACGCGATTTTAAGTGATCGGTGTCACATGATCATTACTGTTCAATATCCCGTGACTATAGGTGGTTTATGTCACATGACCTCAGATAGTCAGTGTCACGTGACCTTGGTTGGTGGGAATCGTTGGTTTTGATATATTTCCGAGCTAAACAGTTATGTTAAAAACCTACCGGCCTGTTAGGCTTGGTTCCAGGGCTTTTACAATAATGTATTATATATTATTATTATTTAATATTTTATCGAATTCACATAACTGCACCAGTATTATGTCATATTATAAATCAGTCGCTATCAATCAGTTATCACATACTTAAAACCGAAKWAATTACCRAAGAAATAGACTACTTCGACRACACGGCGGCCATCTTGGATCGCTAGGCATTATGGGGTGTCTAGGGGTGCAAATATGGAGCTACTGAGAGGCTTGAAAATTTACTTTTATTGAAAAAAGACAGCACATTGATCGCCTTTTCCCATGAAAGAAAGACAAAAAACCCTCTATATATCATCCGCCATCTTTGTTTTGTCAGTTTTTTCCCCTGGACGTCCCACAATACCTTACGATTAAAGATGGCCGCTGCATCGTTGAAATAGATCTTAGCAACTTGACATCCGTTGCGCACATGAACTTGATGAGAGCCTTGCTCTAGACGCCATGTTTTCTATTCCAAACCTTTTAAAATTCTACTAATTTTTCCGGTTTTCGTGTCACARCACGTCCAAAAATACAATTTAATTTCCTGGAGTATTTTTCTTTTCTATTGAGACTGATACGTCAATAACATATTGAATCCGTGAAAATCTTGAAATGAGAAAACATTACGTCAAAACAGCGTAGTTCCAGAGCAAAAAACGCACGAACAGGGGATGGGTGGAGAGGAATATTCTTTCATTTTAGCTTTCATTATTTTGACTAATCCCTTAACACATAAACTACATGATGTTCATGATTACAAGTTTAGTTTCTTCCACTATTGCAGTAGGATTTAAAGTTATTAACTATCTGGTCACCTAGGAACAYGAGCAATTCAAAAAGCACCCAGACTCTATCTTATTGTAGACTAATTGAACTTGAACTCGTAGATCTCGTAACATGGGAAATAGGTCTTCAAGAGGGGGCTTCTACCTGGGTGATTGAAGACGTATAACCGATGTTCCTTTATTTTAATCCCGGTTAGTCGATAAAGAATAGATATAGACTAGGAGTCAAAGTCAGTGGAGGAAACAGGAATTTAAAAAAGGGGTTGCAAAATGGTCGCCAAGCAGGAAAAGGTGGTGCGATCGGCTTCACAAAAGGGAGCTCCAATTTCATTTAATTTTACTGAGAAGAGCAAGAAAGAACATGATTGGCTCTAAAGATCTCACAAAYCCTGGAACAACCCCGGGATGTGCCACTGACAGTTCATTTCAGGAATCACTACAGTCAAACCCAATACAGTTAATTCGTTAGATGATATTCAAATTTGAACTCCTGTCTTGTTAATATTTCTTAATTTATTGTTTTCTAGTAAGGACGATCGTTTGAATGAATACACCGCGATCTAAAAAAAGCACATAAGACTCACTTGGCTCGTTTTATAAATTAAAAATAATAACATTTTCCAATTCAGGTTATTTATACTTCGATATTTATAAACGACTGCGTTAAAAAAAAAATGATTTCAAAGCCATTCCAGCCAGCGGCTACAGGTAGCCATGGTAACGTGTGACGTCAGTTTTACGTCAAACTTTGATGAGCTATGGCTTCGGAATTGTAAATGTATTGTAAATAAATACMTTGATAAACGATCCACTTCCATACATAGTAGTTTACATATATTTAGTGTAATTTATTTATGAATAAACAAACGACTGAAAACAAACACACCACAATTGTAAATAGAAGAAGWAAGAATACTTTAGAATAAAGAAATCTTTTCAATTAATGTAGTCAATGTTTTTTTTTTGAGACTTTGCAGTTTTTTGGGGTCTGAAACACACTAACTGGTATCACGTGATCAGAAATTATACACGTGATCATACGTAAYGATCACGTGTGGAAATATGGGCCATCACGTGACATACCAATGATTACTTTTTAGTAAGCTTGTAAACTAGAGTGAAGGCATTTAACCSGTGAAATAAAAATTATTAGTGAACGTGTAATAGTCAAATAGACACAAAAGAAAACAATGGAATTAGGATCTACTAAAGTGTGTTAGTCGAATATCTATTGCACGGGTTTAATGACTTCACTCTATCAACCACTGCCTAGTCTGGTTTATGGTTTACCCAAACTAGACCAACATTCATCTTATCTCTATGAAGGTAGTGTAGTCACATGATGATGTCCTACAGTCACGTGATTGAGCCTGCGCATTGACATACAATGGATATATATGTATGTGTTTTGTGGTCGCGGGGTTTTCGTGTCTCAGTGTATATATGTATATATTATACTTAATTTTCTCTTTTCTTATATTTATACTTTTAGGTTCTTAATCGCAGATTTTAGTATAGAATATTTAGATTTTCATAGATTTTATCATTGCTGATGACCGTTTTATACCAGCTGTTCTAGTGTCCAGATGATCGTTTTTTTTAATAGGATAAATAAAGATGTTATTATTGTTATTATTAATGACACGACAATGTCTATATCCGCGTAAATCATATATAAGGAAGAAGCTCCATGCATCTTTCCCTGCGTTCTAACTTAATGTATTCCAGGTCAAGGCCGCTAGTAGTACAGCTGTTTCCAAGGTGACCACTGACGTCAATGTTTGTCCAGGATGTTGACCTATTACTGCCTTGCCGACAGCATCTGTCTTTTTAAGGTAATTCCAATTACAGAGGAAAAGTCGAAAATTGTTATTGATAAACAAAGGAAGAGCAGGATTTTATTACAGTACATTGAATATCCAGGAAGCTAAACTGAAGGCATGAGTTCTTTATACATTCCAATCTGACACTTTGATGGCTTTGCGTGACGTCAGTAGGCGTCGAGATCAACTGAATTGTTTAAAGGTGGAGAGGAATCGACAGATCAATCACAAAAAACTTGAAGAATCTTTTTTTATATCCGGCGAAATATTTTTACACGAAATCAAAAGGAGTGAAAGTTCAATTTGTGATTTAACTTATCCGTTTGCGTGTGAGAAGACAAACTACGCCACGCACACATACAACTGAGTCGATCATAATACCTCTTTCCTTCTTTACACACTGCATCTACTATGTTATTGAAGGGGAACTTTACTTTATCGGTATTTCAAAGAGATTCAGTAACATTCTGGTATACGTTAGTAACTCGAAACGGTTTTACTAGGGGGGGGGGCGGGGCGGATATTGAACCACGGTACTTTCTCCTTTAGTAAATTAGAATTAACATTACTGTTATAAACAAGATTGATATCATTATCAACAACAATTATCGGCTTAAACATCATCATCACCTTCCTTACCCATTATGTATTAACATGATCCTTACCCATCACTATCGTCATCATCCGATGATGATTGTTTGGGAGACTTAAGGGAGTATGTAATTTGACTGGAAAAATGGGGGGAAATGGAAGGAAAAGAGAGAGAGGAAGAATAGACGAAAGAAGGGGGGAGGGATGAAGCAAGCATTATGGAAGAAAAGCTTATGTCACTAGCAATAAGAACGTCTTCAGTTATTATCATTACGGTATCACCATCCCATTATTATTTACATCATTATATCCATTAACAACATTATAGTCATCTTATCATTACCATTATTATCACCATCATCACCACCTTCATTAGCTGTCATAAACATCATCATTATCATCATCATCATCAACAACAACAACAACAACAGCAACACCAAAGATGTTATTCAACACACAGTTTTGGTTGACACCGCGGAAATCATTGACGATACGAGAACATGACAAATCCCAGCACTGTGATTGGCCCATTGGCCTCTATATCTCCGATCTGATTATGGTTAACATTAAAGCTCCACAATGCGGAACATTATATAGCTTTCAAAATCAATTTCTGGAAAGCACAGGCACCGTAGACTTGCCGAGTATATATCATCATTTTTTTAGGGTTTTTCTCGGGTTTTCTTCAATATGTCAGTATATACTTCAAGATTCCATTTGCGGATCAAAAAAACCACTCTGTGGAAATGCCAATGCTAAATTATATTAGATTTTTTTCTCGATTGACACTGATACATTTTCTTGCATTTTGATTGGTTGATTAGTTGCGTCAGAATGGCAGTCAAGTTTGACACTCCAATGGCTTTTCTCTAATGACTGAGAAGGGTGCCAGCTTTAACCATATGGTTTAACCAAATCGGTAAGTATAAGATTCAACAATTTCCGTTTTGGTTAGTCTTGGTAATCCAAGATTAGCCGATCCGGATGAGCGGTGCGTATCCAAGAATAATTACTTGGCTAAAAACCAATCAAAACACGCGATTTGTTGGGATACCTAAAACTGAAAACCGAAAATGAGTCGCTCTCATTTTCGTTCAAGCTAATGCGTTCCATGTTGTTTTTCTTTCTGCGAGGCTCATAAAAGCTATTAAAACACTTGACTCAGCAGGGAAGGGGGGGGGGGGGCTTACTCGAACAAAATACCTCACCAGTGGGTGGGAGTGCAATCTTCTTCCCGAACCTTCACTTCACTGTGCTCGACTTTGAATAAATTATAACATACAAAAAATCTCATCCCTGAGCTATAACCTTCAATGCTAAAAAATTCGTTTAAAATCTTTGACATAAAATTTAAAGCCCTAATTTGGAAATGAGATTCCACAAGTCACGTGATCGCGTAATGGCTCCTTATATTAGTATGCAAATCTATGCAAATAATGCGAAGGACGAGCGTAATTTATTGAATTTAACGAAGAGGTTCGCCAGCATTTTCTTCCCAAACAGCTACAAAACTCTGCCAGATTGAACCACAGATTATCTCTCAACTTGTTTTGTTTGTTTATGAATTATTCTGAGACGCACTGGATTATATTTTTGATGGTATGGCATCTTCTGGTTGATAATGGAGTCGATATAAAAGTCTAAATGTACTGCAAACGTTAGGTCATCACAAATCTTCAACCAACTCGTAATATCGAGTTGATAATAACTTTACTAACGGTAAAAATACCACTAGCAGTTTTGTAGCGAAGAGCTTGGCTCTCGATCCATCGAATATACCCAAGACTTGTCAAAGAAATCTACCTGATTGCCAAGACGACAATTCGATTCGATTCGTCGTAGAAAAGGAAATCTTTCAAGCTGGCCATTTCTTCACCCATCTACTGTTCCTACAAACCTTGCTGTGGACTGRTCGATCATTTGGCTTCTATTTTTTCCATCCTTGCAAATATATCTCTKTTAAATGCCATCGTACATCGTGGAGTTGGTTGTACAAGTCTAGGAAGCTATTTCGAATCAAGCGTATTAACTTCGTCTCAAATGSAAGTGTCGTTGTAATCCGAAGTTGCTACTAAATTTAGACTGACTAGATTGAAAATATTTAGTCTAATATAAAGACACAAGTACACCGCGAGAAGGATTTTCTTTTCTTTTACTTCTTAAAGAAATAGTCTATCAGGGAAATTGTTATAAATTCGCCGTCAATTTTACTTGTCACAATTTCTCCAAGCTCACTATTTACTGTATCCTGGGGTTAGTTTTTCGCTATAAATACACTTACGCTTGTCAAAGGGCTAGCTGTTGTTGTATATRATTAATTATTTGCTGCTTGGAATCATCTAGACGGCTTAAAGAACTTTATGGTGGATCTTCCAACTTTGATTAAATGTAAACAAACAAGCCAAGGTCTCACGAATCGAACGAGAAGTTGTAAAATGTTKATTCTGGCAATATCCACCTATGGATCTCAATAACCCGGAACATCAAACCAAGACAAACAAAAAGGAAAAGGAAATTCTACCTAGAGGTTRATAAAAAATCAGAAAAACTACACTATGGCGGAGATTATGAATGAGAGTGGAAACAGCAAAAGTATGATCTACTTTGTCAAATGTTTGCAAAAAGCTGCAGAATTCCGAACGAACGAGGTAAGTTGTGCAATGTGTGTTTAAAGTGTTGAAACAATAGATTCTTTTGCCGATGCTTTGTGTTTTAATAGAAAACCTGCGAAAACGAGTAGATCTTATTCTCGCGCCTAAGCTGTCTGAGGACCAAGTAATCTTTTGATTAAATACATCATTGAAATCAACATGTTGAATGATGGCTTTTTGTAGATTTCGTTCGCCTAATAGCAATTATTCTAATAATAACTTAACCTAAACGAACCTTATAACTATRACTATTCAAGAGATTGTCTCCAGCTATTTACTGAAAAATATTTTTAGATTCAAACTGAAATCATTTTTTTCTGTCTGTGTATTGAATCCTAAAAGTAGTAAGATACTAAGGTATGTTTTTGTTTGTTTTGTTGATACATTTTTGGCGAAGTCTGAAGACGGCACACATTGTCACTCTATTCTAGACACGTTACAGCACATATTAGGTTATACATAGTTAGAATCTAGTGGAATTTACATGCTGACATATATACTGAACTTAATACAATCGCATAACTATGGATAAGTTACTGGGAGATCATTTTGAAATTCGCAGTTGAATAACACTACATGACCTTATTTAAGTACTTGAGTTTGAATTTATTCATTAACTTTTATTCAATGGCTGACAAGTTTTTTTTCTAATCTTGGAAYGGATGCATTTACCATGTCTCCAAGAGTTTTTCTGTCTGTCTTGTTCAGAATACTATGGTGGAGAGGTACTAGCTAGAGTAGACAAGTACTGATAAAGGGGAGGGGGWTTTATGAGGTATTTTGTGTTGTGGCACTTTATATCATTTGCAATCATTGCTACTCCACTCATGAAGGAAATTATTAACGACCTCAACTGTACCTGATAGTTGAGTGCAGTTGTTTAAGCCTTCAAAAAAGTGAGAATTAAACATAAATAATTGAAATTTAACTGTAGAACCCATGTAGTAATTCATACCATGCGAGCAGAGTTTCCTTTCCTTCTCTTRCCCRTAGAGGAGGTAAAAGGACACTCTGCTTGTAGGGTAAGAAATTCAAAGACAGAAGACCACAAAATAATGAATTCCAATTCTCATAAGAAAAATATATTTTATCGTTTTATCCTCTGCATTGCAACTTTCCTACAATGGGTCTATTACTTGAGCTAAAAACACTTGTTTTCTTAACTGACGCTTGCATTCAGTGTAWCTTTTAATTAAGACTCATTTTTTAGATATGCTTATCAAATTATGAATAATTAGTGAGAAAAAGCACAATAGAACTCAGTCACCCAGGAGAAGTCTGTGAATTGGATAAAAAATCTTCCTTATTTGCAGTCAACTATCATGGATTTCTTTGGCCAAACTTACCCAGATCTCAAAAAAAARTTAGTAGAACATGAAATTATACTCTTAGACATTTATGTATAAACAATATACAATATTAGCGAGTGGTATATATGGGCAAGCCCGGGAGATAATAATATTTATTTTTCATTTTTTAAATATATGTTTATGTATAGCCGGTAATGTAGGCAGTATAATTCGTAACGAGTTTCTATTTTAATATCATATTCATTTTTTACTGTAACACTCATTCATGGATCCAATAGGTATTGCATCTATCTGCAGAGGGTCACACATGGCTGTGATGTACAACTTTAACTCATATACATATGCTTAATTTTTTTGAGTTTATTCAAGGACTTTTTATATTTTGTTATTATCAAGAAAATTAAATTAATTCTGTTGTCATATCACTGCCAAATCCAGCTAAAACATTTTCTAGAAGCAGGCATAATAAAATAATTATATAATAATTGTCACCAGCTGAATTCTTACTAATATAATAAACAGATATTCCTTCTACCACTTCTTTCCTGTTTCTATTTTTAAATACCAGTAGCTTTTTCCTGAGCCTATATTGTTCTGTAACGAATTAATTTGGCAAATAATTGATAAAGTGGTAGGTTAAAGATAATGGTAAGGAGATGGTTATGAACAGATACACCAAAATGTACTCATAGTTCGGTTGCTTTTCTTCCGAAATTTTAATGAAAAAAAAAATTTAATGTGCAAAAAAGCGACCATCACCTAAAACTTAGTCAAAGATGATACCCTAATCATATAACCTCTGCACTTGTTTTTACCAAGTGAATTTAAAATCACATTGCAAAATATTTTAAAATGTTTCTCTTGACCAAAGGTTGCTTGGTTGCCTCTGTATTTTATTTCTTAATGAATGTCCTCATTCCTTGCTGACTCACAAGCTATGAATGAGAATGATAAATCATGTTTTACTTGATTTTTGCTAATTCTTTTAAAAATTTTACACAATGGTGTGAATTGGATTTGAAATTATTATTTGACATTTTAGTTCCTGTGCAAAATGTCAAAGCATTTTTCAAGTTACCATCATCCATTTGATTTTCATTATTATTTTTTATATTATTCTTTTTTTAGGAAATTACTTTCACTACATAGATCTTCTAATCTCTATCTATCATTTCCTGATTAGTCTTTTACTTTTCTGTTTTTTATATTATTTTAATTAGAAAGGAAACAAACACCTACATTTTAGGGCACAGAAATAATAACGACACTGTCATAAATCAACAGAACTGAAACTTGGGAATTAGAAATGCAATGTGTTATATGAAATTCATTTTTATTTATTTATTTCTCTTCGTAATATAATATGTTATGTTTTCTTCGTAATATAGTATGTTATATTAGCGAGTATAGCAAGTACGGTATGTGGGAGTTKTGTAAGTAGTAGTGTGGGCCATCATAGTAACAGATCTGGGAGGATTATATCACATACATGCCCTATGGGTGCTTCAAAGTGCATTAAAATGCCATTAGAATGGAAAAAAGTGATGGATAGCTGATTGYAAAATCATATTTCAGCTGTCGACCTCTACTAAAAGATGATATCCAAAGTGGATAGAAAAATAAGAGCATCTTTAGCAAATTTATTTTTTGTTCAATAATATCAAGGTGATAGGGCAAACTGATTGATTGCTGATAGCATCATCACATCTCTGCTGACAGAATACCAGAGAAATAATATCWGAAGTGAATAGAAAAATAAGAGGATCTTTCAAAAATTTAATTTCTTATTCTGACAATTTAATTATTTTCGGTTCTTATTTTCTATAGCTAAATCTTTATTGTGTTTGCTCATTTGATTATTTAAATAAAWAGTGTGGCTTGGTATTTTAAATTAGCTGGGCATATAGTGACCACTTTAACATGTGAACAGACCATGATGTGTACATCTTGTCGCAAACTAATTGGATTATTATCCAAACGAAGGTTATAGTTGTCTGACATATTTTTACATAATCACAGCAAAGGGGTTAATGGYGGAATGGTCACCTGTTATGGCTTAAGTAGTATAATTATTCTATGTCAGAATGTATAAATACAAGTTTATATTCTGAAGAGATTAAAGTAACTATGAGCTATTGATTTAAAGCAATTGAGAATAAAAAATCTTGTTTCTTGCGTTAAATTTTTCATTTTTTTTCATTTTTCAAAGTGATTGTGGTTGGTGTCTTTACTGTTAAAATGTCATCATCATCATCTCCATCATCATCACCACCATCATCATCATCAACAACATCAACATTATTACCACCTCCACTGCCACCACCAAATATTGTCACTGTCATCATTGGCATTCATTCTATTATTAATGATAATGTTTATGTGAGCTCATTTGATTTGCATTTTATARGAGTATTGATCATCATAATTATCTTTTTCCCCTTAGGAAGCGGAGACAATTTTCCACCATTTGCGAGGAATGAAAGCCATGGGAGGTTACCTTGAGTCATCTGTCAGGTAATGATTGTTGTTAATCATCATCATCAGAATGATCATCATCATCATCATCACCATCATTTAAAATAGCAATCAAAATCATCATTCATCATTTAATCATCAGTTTTATCACAATACCATCATCACCACTCCCAGCACCATATTAATGATGTATCATCATTATCATCAGCACCACCATCATCATCACATTCATGATCATCATCATCATCATCACCACCACCATCTCGCCATCAGCATCATCATCATCATCACCATCATCATCATTATCATCAGCACCACCACTATCGCCATCATCATCATCATCATCACCATCATCATCATTATCATCAGCACCACCACTATCGCCATCAGCATCATCATCATCATCATCACCAATATTCCTTCATCATCAGCAGAGTCTTCTTTTGTTCTTCATAAATGCAAAAAGCAGCATTCATTATTATTGCTTTTTGCAATTTGCAGGGTTAACATGAATGCACATGTCTAGTAACACTGGAATGCAATACAAAATGTTCTTAATACATCCTCTACAYACAAATAGATATCTGTCATGCCGATATAAAACCACTATGACATCAAACATTTGTTAAAGTACATTAATGTAGATGTTAGCGTACTCATTAAACCCTGTTACAATGCTAAAATCAATATAAACTAACCTTGGTTTGTGTTCTTGTTTATACTAGGGTCATGTCGCAGACTGCAAGATACGAAGAATATGACTCAAATTTCCTTCTTTATCAGTAAGTAAACAACTATAAAATATAAGTTTATTTATCAAATAGATTTTTTTTGATGTATAACTTCTTTTGTCGTAGTTGTTACCTACACAACCTATTACTCTTATGGCTTCATCTTTTATCAATAAAAATGTTTTCAGTGAGGCTAGATTTCATTGATATTACATGTAAAAGCTTCGACAAATTTTACCWGGTTTTCAGACTTATTTTCAAACAGTCTAAAAATGAATTTGTACTTTTTTCAGCAGTATTAAGCTTGAATCATGAATCAGTTGTTGAGAACAATCATTATGACAAAACTGTTAAAAAAACTAAGTATAATATAGAGTTTTCATAGCTTTTAGACAAAGCTTTCTTTATATTCTAATTTACTTTACAATGGGGTTTATAAATTAGACTAAACAAGCACGTAAAGTAGTTAAAATTGGACGATATTTTGATACTGTGGCATATGAGGTGTCAAAACAATTGTGAAAGTTTTTCTAAAGTATTCCAACTTTTGTAGGCTATCATTTACCTAATCAATAAACCTCATCCTTACCTACCATTTATAATTCAATTCACAGCTATTCTTCTATTTTTACTGCCCAAAAATGGGAAGAAAAGAGATGACTTTGAATGAACGTTTGAAAAAATGTTTGTAAACCACGTTGTCTTTCTATTTTATGTCTGGGCTACCTCTGTCAAACATTTCGAGGAGACCTGGTACTCTTAAGGACATAATAAATCAATCTAATAAAAAAAGCTTGTAATTTTTGAAATTGTGCCCAGATTTATTAATGAAAGTAAATACTTTAGAGTTTTTGTGCTTCTTACATTCGTATTTTGTGCTTCAGGTGGTTTTGTTGGCGCGTTATTTTCATTGGGTTTCCTGTGTTCGAAAATATTACTGACTGGGCTACCTGTGTGTTTTTCYATCTTCCAAAATAATTTCATCGAAAGTCCTTTAGAATTTAACGCATTTTTTTCCTTTTTAGTTCCAATGACTATGCTTCCTGTTGGTATATTTTACTCACTGGTTGTGTGTTTTTAGAAGGATGCATGTATCTACCTGGAAGCAGGTAAAAATATCAAACATTTGGACTTGAAAACAAAAATGTTTTCTAATAATTGTGTTGAGTTTGAACCAGCAAAACAACTATTTTCGTATTTCACTTTCRACTCTCTATATTTTGACATTCATAACATATGCAAATTGTATATTTGTCTCAGCAGAGGAAACTACAGTAACACAGCATTAATATTGGCAAATTTTATCTGTCTAAATCACCTTAAAGTGCAGCTATTTTATCACAATTCTTCTGCAAACGTTTCATCAGCTGTCTATAGCAAGTTTATTTAAATTTATTCATGTTTATTGCTACAAAATATTGTATTGAAATTCATTGAAATATTAAGATGTTAAGTCCATTGTTAGGTTTTCTTATTACATTAATTAACTGTCCCAATATTCATTCTAATAACTGTTTTTTCTTGTGTTTTTTTTTTTGCAGTTTTGGTAAACAGCCCCATGGTGCAGATGGTACAAGGGGAAMTGACTGTCTGGTATTAGAGCGATCTGGAATGATAGTGGTATGTCAGAAGTGGTATTTCAATTCACAGTTTGAGAAAACTATGTTTTCGTATTGTTTATTGTATTGGTTCATGATTATATTCTTTGCCGTCACATGTGAGTATAGTTAATTGAGACACATGAATGCATGAGTACATGTAATGCTCTGATACGACATGTTTATTATTATTGTATTTATTTATTGTTCTAGATTGATTATCCTCATGAGAATCTCCTACAACCATTCCAAAGACATTCTTACTCAACTTCAGAGCTTGAAAAGCTCCTTGCGCTTGAATCAAAGGATTTTCTTGTAGGAGGACCAGTTCCTGAAGATGAAAAGGTATTTAAATTTGATTTGATTCTGACATGTCCCTTCAAATAAAGCTAAGTTGGTCATAAATCCATTGCCAGCAAAGAAATAGGGCAGTCCATATATTTAGCTATTAATTATAGTTTGTTTGATGTGTCAATTTTTGTCCCTTGCCACAAAGGTTTTTCTTCAAGTTTTCTGGTTTTTCTTGCTCAGTAAAAAATCAACATTTGAGTTGAGCGCTGTGTTGTAAATAKTTAAWGAAGTRGTAGTGCATGTGGAGCAAACCTCATGGAAGAGTCCCTTAYGTGGAGTGATGGTTGTACATGTATATTTTCTTAGTTTATTAATGCTTGAATGTACAATATTTAATGTTTGGTATATAAAGCTTATATCATGCTATATAAAATTACCTACTTAAACACCACATGATTTCTTTAGCTTCCAATGGAATTGCAACAAGTAAAGGATATCTTGCTACGAAGTGAGCACAATCTAAAGAAAAAAGAAGATAAAGAAAACAAGGCACATGCTGCACTAGAAACAAAATACAGTCACTCCTCTGAACACTTAGAGCTGGACTTATCTGGACTGGTAGAGAGTATTGGTAAGAATATTCTCTAGATAATCACTTTAATTTTCTTCTTGGGCCTTTCTGCTGGCAGTTGCCAAATCTACCTTCAAATTTTATCGAACCCTGTAGCAACCTCTAAGCTTATCAAAGTCAGGACACGGCTAACACACAGATCTAATTGGAATTTAGCTTGTTAGTCTTCTTTGGAGGGAGGAAGACAAGGAGAACCTAGAGAAAATTCTTGAATCAAGGAAGAAACATAACCAACAGTTACTTTACTCACATGTGTTACCATGAAGTACAGGAATCAAACCTATCAAGGCCTAGTAGATGAGAGGATAGTATATTACCGCTATGTCACCCTTGATTTCCAACTTCTACCTGCTGAAGGACAAAGCAGCTTGTCAGAAAGTTGTGCTGATAGCAATTATTTGTCACGCGAGACTTTGGTTCTCATGAAATTGGTTGTAAAAAAGGCCTGACACACAATTTTTAAACTTATAGRATTCAAGTATTATAGATACCATCCTATTGTCAAGGAGTAGAATTATTATGGAAAATACTAGGATAGGTAGTTGATGTCTGTGTCTGGACTTTCTCAATTTTCATGCCAATAATGTCCATTGTATAATCTTTTCCTTCATATTCAGAATTTTCAGGTTCAATGCTGAAACAGTGAAAATAACCACCTACYAGAAAAATGTCATTCTGTCATTTACAATAAATTCCTTGTAGTGGAAAAGAAATGCTTTTTAACCTAAGATATTTTTCAAAAGGAAGAATTGTTGACAAATATGTATTTTTTTAGTTGATTCTGATGATGAAGAGGAATCTGCTTCCCATTCTTCACAAGAGGTAAATAAAAGTGTTCATCCAAACTTCTTTTAACAACATTAATTATCATGATTTTTACATCATAATCTTTGGTTATATTTTTTAGTCTTTCATGGTCAGAGATGTCGTTCGAGACTGCCTGGAAAAAGAACCCTCGGAAAGAACCGAGAGTGACATTGGTAAGCAAACTGATTGCTGTTTTWTTGTCGACAGTTTCAGCTTCACTCAACCTCGTCCAGGGCAAACTAAACCTTTCACGAGATATAGCCTTGAGATTTTAGCATTGTTTCATTGCTAGCTGTGCACTAATTGAGTCAAAAATCRAGACAGGTATCATAGCAATGTAAACAATGTTAACTACAACTTTATCCCAATTTGAAAACGATAGTTTATAGTTGCACATGACAAAAGTTTTTGAGCATTAAAGTCCCAGAGTAGGTCATGTGTCATGACCGCTATGTTTTATGAAGGGTTCTTTAACTTGATAGAAAAAGTTCCTATTTACATAACTGTCAAAGATTATCTAATATGCTTCAAGAATCCTTACTCGAGCGTAGAATATACACACAGTTGTGTCAGAGTGACTTAGTATTGACTGACAGACATGTGTTCCCCGGTTGCAGCTGGCACTAAATCAGTTTTCTTTTCTTACGTACTTTGATTTCTTATTCCCAACAGAAACCCTTATGGACTTCATGCAACATCTGCCAGTGAGTTATYTTTCTAAATCTATACAAAATCAGTCTATTTAAATATCTTTTTCATCATTCCWGAATGAAACCTCGCCTAGTAAAGAAACAATGCCTTTTACATCAGTAAAGGTCGGGACACAGAGAAAGATATTGCCTTGCTTTCTTACAGTAGTCCATTTTTGTCTTGTTTTTTTTTTCTTTTTTTCTTTTTTTCTTTTTTCTTTTTGTCTAGATTTCACAAACCATATATAGAATTTATTGGGAACTAAGTGACATTTTCTTAACGTTGTTGTTGTTGTTTCCAGGCGTTCGCGAACATGACGCAGAACGTACGTCGTGCTYTGTGTGCTGTCATGGTGTTTGCAGTGGTGGAGAAGGCTGGCTCGGTTGTCATGGAGAATGGAGAAGAGGTTTGACCCTATAGCGGCTCTTTTCCGAGTTTTTATATGTATTTCCTTAGAACAAGTTTTTTTTTTATTCACAGCTTGATTCTTGGTCTGTTATTCTCAACGGCTCAGTCGAGATTTTTGTCGATGGAAAAGAGACAACGGGTCTCCATCTTGGCGATAGTTTTGGTGTTGAACCGTCCCTGAAGAAGATGTTACACAAGGGCGTGATGAAAACACGTGTAGATGACTGTCAGGTGAGTTTGCATTTGATTGGTTCCCGGTATGTCCCAACCTCCTGATTGGATGATTAAAGATCTCGCTAGCAGTGATTGTTTCAATGAATGTCGTAATTTGATTGGGCGATAAAATTTAGCGCAAGGTGATTGGCTTAATGAATGTCGTAATTTGATTGGATGATCAGAAATCGCGGGCGAAGATTAGTCTAATGAGTGAAAAAGAAAGAAAAAAAGCAAAGGTAATCGCAGAAGGAAAGCTAAAGACGACATCAGAAAACTTCCAATAATCGTAGATTTTAACTTGTTTTTATCTTAATCTCCCAACAGTTTGTGTGCATCGCTCAAACAGACTACTACCGAATCCTAACCCAAGGCAAGTCAAATATCAAGGTCATAGAAGAAGGGGGCGAGGTTGTCATGGTGACGGAACATCGAAGTACGGATGGTGGTAACAGAGAAGGACAAGTTGTGATCAAGGTCAGTCAGTGGCTAACGCCTAGTATGCCTATTTTGCTTTAAGTAGAATTTAAGAATCAATGGAATCAAAGGTAATTTAGGTCTCGTGTTTGCTTCCTGGACTTAGCATCAAATGTGAGTAGAGATTGCTGGGTCTGTCCCTTGATTCGAGGGTTTTTCTACAGTGTTCCTCACCCCGCAAAACCGATCATTTTGCTCGTTTGTTTGTCTACTCACGCGCCACACCTCAAAAATAGATCGCACAGTTTTTAAATCGCTATCAACACCGATTCAAAATGGAAATCATTTATCATTCTTTTAAACGATGACTGTCCAACTTAAGAAGCTTATTATATAAGGTTCGTCCAAGTTTACGTGTTTTGTGGTTAAACACGTTGACTATGACGAAAGTGAAGGGTGAGTCTTGTGTAAGAATGTCCGATGTAACACGATAYGGTCGTTAATAATAAGGACTTTGACTTTCTAACCTTTACTACTCCGTTATCAAGCGTTCTCTATACAGCGATGAAATGAGGATTGGTTTGGGATTTTGYGTATTTTCGTATTCCATCTTTATCATCGTTCTCTTTATACTTTGAATTATCTCATTCCTTTATGCTAATGAAGGTAAATAATCCTGCATATCTCTCTTGTAGAATATATTATTTTTGTATGAAATATTATATTATCTAGTGTATATAATATCAAATTTCTGTTATTCTCTGCTGCGATCGAATGTACGAACGACGCTCTTYGTCAGGGATTCATATTTTTAAGTTAAATTTTTCGTTACATTTAACTTATTTATTTATTTCTTSTCGTTGTGCAGGCTAAACCAGAAAAGCTGATATCCCATTTGGTAGAGGATCATTCAGTTATCGATCCAACKTTCGTGGAAGATTTCCTTCTAACATTTAAAACCTATTTCGACCAGCCAAGCCAGATCTGCGGTCGTCTTCTGTCCTGGTTTCTCAGTAAAGACCATCGCGATAAGGTACGTAGATCTACCACGAGATATATCATGGTTGTATCTTTATTATTTAGACATAGTACTTGTATTAGGAGAGAGATATTATGGCTAGATGTAATATGAGATACCAGAAGTGTTTGAAGTCGCTGCTATTTTCACCTACCATCGCATTAATTACCGTCAATTAGCTCTAATTTTACTCTGACGAAAGTCGATTCCTTAGGCGGATCTCAGATGATGATCGTCTCGCAGGAAAAAAATTWAATTGAGTTACAATGTTCACACTGGCAAGAATCACCTTTATCATTTGTCCAAATTAAGTCAGCTTCGGCAACATCAGTGTTAAGGTTTACTAATACTTTCTAAATCCAAAGACCTTCGAAAAACTATTTAAGAATTCAAACAAAATTTCCACGATGTATTTTGTTTGTCGTAAATGAAAAAAAAAACCAACTTCAAAACAAGATTAATAATACATCCTCTAACWYGCAGGATTTCTTCTTTAWTACAAGGAAGAACTCACGAGACCCWGTATCACGTGACTACATKAAASAGCCSTCTGAYGTCTTGTGATAGTTGTTAGTACTACGCATGCGCATGGTTTTTGTATAATTATCAGATCAATGCTAAAATGTTCATGAAGCGAAAAACGCATGAATGTTTGCTTCCCGCCGGAGGAAGGCACTTATTTCAAGATAAACGCATTGAGAAGCAAAGCATGCGCAATGTAGCGGTAGGAAATTTAAAAAAAAAATTGTTAGGCAATGCATTGTGGAGAGCAAGGAAAAGCGTAACCTTTTGCGCGCATGTCATTTACACTTAAATGACACTATCCTGCTCTTTCTTTACAATATTTGTATGTCATCTCTTAGAAAAGTTACATGTCGCACCACTTTTCAGCTTATGTTGCATGCAGCTTTGACCAGAARTCCCTAAAAGCGAACACTCTCGATATGATCCACAACGCATAGGTCCTACCTATCTGTAGAATGCGGTTCAGGGCTGCAACTCCCTGTTTGAGCCCAAACATGCATGTGAGAAGAGATGACATGTTGGATGMGGGGTCTGTCACATGCCAAATGGCCGTTTTCTGATTGCACTGACTGCTATCCAATCAAATTCTGGGGGGAAACATCATCACGGTCATGGCATGACACGTTTGTAACGTGAGTTCGTGACAGTCACGCTCTGGTCACGAACTTGTAGAGATAATTTAATAAACTTTCGATAATTATCAACATTATTCTCAGGTAACTCGAGTGATRCTTCTATGGGTCAACAACCATTACACCGACTTTGAAGGTGACACCGCCATGGAAAACTACCTCGAGACGTTTGAGGTGGGACTTGAACAACAGGTAAGGGGTATGAGTGAACGATGTACCGTTTCCGCTGTGATGGCATATTCTTATTGTGCTCACCATGCTGCACAGTTAGCGCCCTTTCACTTTTCGTGCGCTTCTAACCAGCTGAGCGGTGGATTTTGTTTCAGCCAATTTTTGCCACTGGTCCTCATTCCCAGGCTACTGCCTACAAGAAGTACAAATATGGAAGAAGAATAAAAACAATTTCATTTTACCACCATTTTTGCTTCTTTCTTTCGAGCTCCAAAAATGCCGAGGGCCGGTCATTTTGTTACCGCTCAGCTGGAATGCGCTGCCTCTCATCAATGCAACCTGGGTTCTATATTTTACATTTATTGTGGCTTGGCTATTTAACGCGCTGCCTGCTTTGCGAAAGTCAGTAGTCATCGGTTACACACACTTGTTGCTTATACTGGCCAATCTGATTGGCTTGCGCTTTGAATACCCATACGACGGAGCACTAATAATGAATGATTAGAGTAAAGAACGCACTGTTACCTTCCTTGGAGCGCAGCTATTTAGTTGGAGTATCAAACAGCAGTGTTAGATTATCTTAAAGTGTAGCAATGATCATGGTGGGAGGGGTTAAGTAAGTGCGTACTGTTCTTCCTGGCTGCGCATGTGCGTGGATGACGGAACAACCAAATGAAATGTCTTGAAGTGAAGTAGTGATCATTGCGTAAGTGACTAAAGTGCGTGCGCACCGAAAGTTTCCTAGGAGCACAACCAAAAATAGATATGTTTATCGAAGTAACGATATTTGTATTATGACCATCCGTAAACTTTAAAAGTACACTTATTCTTCACTTGACTCTGAAGATGACTTCCGCTCAGGTTGTCGAAACGTCAGTCCCATCAAACAGTCCTTCTCAGGACTACATCCACCCGGATAATCATAATACAAATATTGCTACTTCAATAAACATTCATTCACCTTGGTTCAGACCATTCTATACAATAAAAATAGGTATGACAAATGTATATAATTCTCTTCACTTGATCTTGTAACTGATCTTGTCTGTTTTCTCTTTTACAACAGAAAATGAGTGGTCAATTAGACTTACTGAACATGGCGTGCTCAGCCAAGGCAAAAAGCCGCGTTATCGTTATGGTAAGAGATCGAAATATCTTGTTATAATCATGAATTGTGATAGCGTAGACTCATTACCTTTAACTTGAGACCGCGTCCAAAAGATACCTCTGTCAAACCTTTTTCTAGTCACAATGAGTATGAGATAACGGGACTCGACTGTATATATTTGACCATTGTACAATGACGTCGATCATTCTACCGCAGTCCGGGAGCGTTACTTTTGCAATTCAGTTCAGTTGCCAAAACATGTTTAGAAAAAGCATTAGTCTAAGGAACGTTGTATACGAACGTTACTAAAAAAAACTTGTCATTGCTAATCACCACTGCAATATACAGCAGTGGCGCAGCTCAACGGGGTCGCAATTTTCCTTTTCCTGCTGATTCTTATTGTTTCTGTGTATTTCAGGACCGTCCCTCGTGCAAGCATAACTGGGGGTTCTGGATGGCTGGAGGAAAAGAAATGTCACTCCCGATTTTCGTTTCCAAGGTATGACTGACAAAAACAAACAAACAGACCACACCCAGGCAGTAAATTGAAAACATTTCCAGTATTACCGCTGTTTTGAGTGCTACACACTGATCGAGACAACAGTCGCGACAGGGAAATGGGAAAATAGACTACCGTCAACCAAATGTATTGTTCTGTACCTTTACGTACGCGTGACCAACGCAATGAAAACACTGGTAATAGACTCCTTGCATGTGACGTCAAAGCAGCTCGATCTGGGGGACAAAACAAGAGAATTCCAATCTCCTGAGAATTGGAACCTATCGTTTTGTCCCCCAGATTGAGCTGCATTCTGACGTGCTGCAAAGGGTCTATTAAGCAGACTCAAAGCTATCGTATTTTGTCTCTTCGCGAGAATAACCGCTGACTAACATTACCTTCTGTGATCGTACAGGTCGAAACAGGATCACTAGCAGCAAAAGCTGGTATAAAGAGAGGAGATCAGGTAAGAATTGGGCTACCTGTGTGGAAGTTATTAGTTGCCTTGACAACCCTGGATTACCGCTAATTTAATCATTACAAATAGGCAACATAACCAAATAACTGAAGTGGCGCCCCTAAAATATCTTAGTTGGTATCATTAAGTCCGATATACACGGTACGATTTTATCTTACAACGTGTTGTGGCGCGCAACATGTTGACGGCGCAAATTGCTTCGTGTAAATCCACCATGAACTTGCTTACCCCTAAAACTTGAAATAAGAGACGAGCCATTAGATAGTTAAGGGGGAGGGGCGGGTAGTTGCGTAAACCCCCAAAAAAAATTGAGCAAGCAATTCATCTACGAAAAAAATTATCGCGCAACATCTCCTTTCATTAAAGAAATATCCAGCAAACACACGAAATTACGAAAAATAAATATCGTACAACATAAATTTCTTCAACCCCACCCACTCCCCCCTGAATTATCTAATGGTCCTTCCCTAAGCATGTTGGGTGAGACAGTTGTGAGGAAAAATCATACCTTGTAAACTTCTGTATACATAGCCCTCCCTCCCTCCCTCCCTCCCTCCCCACCCCTGAACCCTTTCCCCAAGCCCTTCTCATGGATCCTGCACTGAGAACCGGTCTTCATCCCCTTTTGCATCTACCCTTTATTTCCACACTTTATTTATTCAAATTTAGACAATAATAAAGGACTCCCGTTGAATCTCCTCCATGGATTTGAATACCATTGTAGGGCCTTATGTTGCCTAGACAACGAGATGCAAAAATGGCGGATCTTGAGAAAATAAGGAGATTTGTCGAGAAAATCCTGACAGATATCATCTATTCATTCATTTTAAAATCTCAAAATATAACAAAAAAGTTCTTTTGAAAAGACCAGAATAGGTTACGTGTCTTGACCAGTGACTGACTTATTAACTATGATCATAATAATTATGCAATACTGAATCGCTCATCGTCATAAGGCGATTTCATCAACGTATTTTGTAATTGGAGGCTAACGCATAGCTTGCCAATAGCTTGGAGAAAAACAGGAGAAAATCTGTTGTACTCGATGAGCAACAAAAGCCATACAATTGTCTTTGTTTAGTAGAAGCTGACGCCAAACAGCTGGTGTCAATTGAATAGAAAAAAATCTGTTACGGTCACCCTGTGCGCACCTGTAGTTAGCACAAACATTGAAATTCATAAATATCGCTTTACTCATACCATTTGTTATGTTTTTAAACACGACTAGATCCTAGATGTTGACGGCAAGTGCTTCGACAACCTGACCAACGACAAGGTACTAACACATATCTCGATACACTTAAAACCATGAAATTAATTCTCTATATAGCTGTTGTATGATTTGATTTTATTCTGTCTCTCCCTTAGGCTCGTGAAATGGTGTCTTCGTCAACACACATCAAACTAACTCTCAAGAAAAACATCGCAGGTACTAAACTTGAAAAAACACTTTAAAAATCTCGTAGTTTTGAGCTATAAATTTCATTTTTTGTATCTTCCCAAATTCCTGATTGGTTTCTTAGGATTTTATCGATTCATTCTTTGTGGTATTTTTTCCATTCATTATAAGGGTCTCGCCCTTTTAACAGACGCTCAGGTCATCCATCCATCGATACACGTGTCGTTTTTGCCTTTCTTATTGAGTATATTTAAGTGGATTGCTCTTCATTTCTTCGTAATAACTTCTAGAAGAAACATTAAAATCTATGTTAAATTTTGGTCAAGAAGTGCTAATTTGTGGGGTATCTTCTTTTACGATTTCACTTAGTGGTCAATTCGGTATAGATCGATATCTCTATTTCATTTCTTTGTTTCATTCATAACTAACATTGCATGTCATTATGTGCCTTGTCACGCAACTTGTGAATAATGTCACGGACATGTCATCTCTATTTTTAAACTGATTATGAATGTTTCTTTGAAAAAAATTCAACATATTTAATTCCGTCAATTTTTGAAATAAAAATAATATTTTTAATTCTAATGTGCGTATGTTTTTCAACTATTTTACCTGCAAAAACACGTTTCTCCTGAAGAACTCAGTAAATCATAAGCTTTTCAAATGAATATCATTAATCTAAAGTTATGAGGTTTGTCATCAAAACGATGCATCCAATACTTAGTGAAGACACTTACATTTCTGGGTGGATTTGAACCTGAAACAAAGACATGCTGACATGATGCACAATATTTACTGGTAAACCAGTGATGAACGATATTGTGATGTGTGCATGTGTTGTATTTGAACAGCAAGCCAAACAATTATCCAAGGAAAAGCTTTGGTAACTAAGGAAAAACTATCTAGAATTACAAGTTTTTGCTTAGATAATCTTCTAGCGTGATAAAGTACGAGTTTATAAAGGTACTTAAAGTGTTAAGACGAGAAAACGAGCCGCTTGCGAAGCATTTAACTTTCTTTTGTGTTGCAAATGATGATCTAGATGGAATGTTATTTTATTGTTGAAGATTTATGTATGCATGACTTAGTAAGGATAGGAGTACTCCATTTACGCATCATTCACCAGAGAGAATCGTTAGGATACATATGTTTTTATATCTAAGAATTTCTCTCTTGGATTTCCAGGATTTAAAGAGCTACAATCTTCACCTGTTATTGTAACAGGAGACCATGCAAAGAACGACAATCATGGAATTGAAAAGGTAAGAAACTTAAACTCCATTTACTCATTATTGAAGTTGTCATGGCTGAAATCTTCTTAAAGCTTTCGTTACATTTATAATATTCTTCCAGAAACAAAATAGCTTTTTTATAGTGCTACTCTGTCTGACAGAATTTTATTCTAAACTTACTATGGGATTCAATCTTAGAAAACGAACACGTTTCAACATTATTTTGAATTCATCACTTGCTCAAATATTGTTTACACATCTCAGGAAGTTCAAGTTGATGTTATTTCTTTTCATCATTGAAATGTTTGACAAAAAAGTATTCAAATGTGACGTGCAGAAATTTCATCAAACATTCAAAAAATTCATCAAAATTTTACAAAGAAGTGGTACAACTCTATAACTAGTTGTCAGTTTGTTTACTCTAGGTTTACCTAAAAAATGGACAAAAAAAAAGCAAAAAGCAGATCCTTTTTTGTTTTAAATCTTATTCTAGTTTCATGCCGAGTTGCACGTTCATCTTTATTCATTTAGCAACTGTTGCGCTTTTTATAAGCAAGATCGAAGGACTTGGAGCACAAAAAGTCGGTCATAGTAGAAGCATATTCTACCACCTTGCCATGGATTGTTTGTAGATCCTACATTGTTGCCTGTGTTTGAAGTTCTAAATGTCATTGTTGTATACACACTACCTCTCTTCTCTCACCATGCCACCAGCTTCATGTCACTAAAATCGGTTTTCCATTATTTAATTGGCGAAATTTTCCTTAAAATCAGAGCTCGCCCTTTTATTTTTCTCCTTTTTAAAAATTTGAAAAATATTATTGTATTCATGAACTGTTTTATTTTATTTATTTWTTTTTTTTTGCATCGTTGGTATTGGTTACTTTTGCCTGTGGTTTTTGCGGTTTTCATACAATTCTAATGAAGTATGTTCTTTTTTTGGTACGTTGCCAGCCCGAGTATGTCCAACGTAGCTCTTCTGATTGCACAGAGAAGAGGAACCATATGCAAACACGACTCTCAGCTCCTGATATAACCTCAGGTATGTCACTCTATGTCCTTATTATGCCTATGTACATCTGCCACATTGTTTCCTCTCCTGCCCTTACTTTCCCGTCGAAACCTTGTTTCTCTGTACACCATCATCAGTGAGGCCTGTCTTTAGTTGTTGCGCATTGATAATGACCCTATTTGTACTGATTCCATTCCCAGTACTACAGTACTCGTCAAGCGAATTTTTAAATGTCTTTAATTTTGTTTTCTAGGATCAAACAGAAAGCCACCGGTGAGTGTTGAATGTGATAGAATAATATACTGATCATTCCATCCATGATGTCCCACTTAAAACTGACCTAGATATTCAATGTCGTACAAGACGAGTTCGTTTCTAATGGAGTGCCGTGTTCGCTACGCAGTCAAACTATTGACGAATACTTTGCGCAATAGTAGATCTGCCAATCAAGCTGCCAAAAATGACTTCTTACCCAAACCAAGTGGTTTTTGTCAGATTTTTAGATTTTCTCCTTGTCATTGCGCGCTTTGAATTGGGTTTTAGGTACACTATTATCTCTCGCTAACGCGATGCAGTACAAAATTTCATTTATTCCGCTCACACGCAAACAAACGTAGCTCAATAATGGTAAGCTTGTTTAGGCGCGCGGAACATAGAGCCATAACTGCTTCTGAGATACCTAAGGCTAAGAGAATTCCTTGTGCGCTTGGGGATTGGCGTAGGAAAGCTGAAGGTGCTAGAAGCGCTCGTAACTTTAGTCAGTGGGACGCGGGAGTATAAGTTACTTGTTCTGGCTTGGAATATTGTGCAGAAGTATTTGGCGCGCTCTGTCGCTACGCGTCTTGGGGTACTCAAAATAGAACACGTCAATCATCATACCTTTTCATACCCTGATATAAACTAGATTAATTCTTTTGTTTATCAATCTTCTACAATAACAGCCATTGTTAAATATCAAAGGAATGTTGAAATCATTTCCTTATTACGAGTTACTTTGCTAACCACAATCCATCGCGCTTTTTATTGGGTAATTTTCTTCACTTCCGGTCATATGATGCTCACCGGAAATGTAGATTGGCCGACACGTCTCGACAACTCTTCGAGCCGTTTCAAGTTGCCTGTGGTCTGGTCATCGCGTGCTACTTGTAACTTATGTTTATGGCGAGCATGTCTTCTTTTTTAGATTCCTATGCAAACTCAATCCAAAACTGATAAAGTAAAGAAAGCCCTGACGAAGTTTTCAACATTGGGTTCTCTTTCAAGACAGTACAAGTAAGTAAGACCTAAACTCTTTCGCGCCAAATCTTTAATTACATAAATCACTGGTCCTTGAAGATTTTTAAATGCCAAGAATATCAGACTGGCTGCTTCTGGTTGCTTCTTTGTTTATGCTCTGGTGGCTTCTAAATCCTCGTAGATCGATCCTAAGTTCGGGTTTTGTAAGCTCTGTTGAGGAGTATTTTGACGTGAAGGATTTGTCCATGATGGAATGTGTGACGATGTTGACATGCCGTGTCATCTTTCTCTGTTTTTCTTAGACTTATTATATGTTATTTTACTTTTAACTCACGATCCTTCAACACCAAACGCTCCCAGCGAATTAACCTAACTTTACACGACTAAGAAGATGTTTATATTGCATGAAATCTTGAAGTCTTGCTCCCAATCTAACCTGGTACTGTAATCACAGGTTACGATCTCTCCCTAATGGTTTTAATTTCAAGTATTAACTTCACAAAAATACTGTACTATACCACCGCAATCGCGGACAGATTATCTCTATTACTAACGATTACTCCATGGTAAAGATCATAACCGCAGTGACTGCACCACTAAAAAACGTCCATGAAGGATATCACGCAAGTTTCCCCACTGATGATTCATTCTGTGTTTGCGTGGAGTGGACTAAAGCTGCGCCTAACTGAGAGTGCAAACGTCTCGATGCTTCAAGCGCACCATGGCTGGATTCTCGACAAGCTACTTCTGAAGAAATTCAATTATATTTTTTCGGAAATCAAGGGTGCAGCATCACATGTTTGTAGAGGATGTCGCGTCTCTCCCTTGATTCGAGGTTTTTTTTTACAGTTTTCCTCCCTCTGCAAGACCTAACGTGCTGTATTCCAATTTGACCTCAGATCAGCCCAGATGTTGTTTCAGGGTATCAATAAACTATGCCACTAATAGCCCACTGGTTTTGTTTCAGGTTAATATCGAAGAGTGATCGTGATCTGACAAGTGTTGATTCTGGTTTTCACGAGGGAGACGAGGTTCATAACTCAGCTAGATTAGGGGTTAAAGTGCACACTCGTGGCTCTATTCCCAGAGCATTTGGATCCATGGAAAGCCTTAATACAGTAGAGGGCCAGACTAACGAGTACCCTGATAAGGTTCTGAGGGTGTATAAAGCTGATCAAACAAGCAAATACTTCCTTATATACAAGGTAACTTTGTATAGAGGCTTTGCACCATCACATGATGGCAGCCATGACAGGAGGCAGGAACAATTGAATCTGGTTTAGAATCGATTGAAACGACAAAGAATTCAGTTTCCCAGGGGAAAGATACCCTATTGTTGTGCCTCCTGTCATGGCTGCCATCACGTGATGGTGCAAAGCCTCTATTACAGTAGATCAACGACCTACTTTTGTCAGGGGTTAAGATACAAGAAGCCTTTTCTGTAGCACAGGAGGTGTACTCTGTTCCCTCTTCAATGTGGCTGTGAGCTGTTCGGTCCTCTCTTCCACCACAGTATACAAGTAGAATTGTTTGACACAGTGATATCTTATTCCCTCTTGAATCAACACTTTAAAATTATTGAAAATTACAGGGCTTTAAATGGATTGCCCATGATCCATTTGATTTGAAGATTGAACATTATTCCCTTCCATTCCCTCCCATTCTTATCTCATCCTTATCTCATCCATGTATTTCAGGAGACAACAGCAAGAGAAGTCATCGATATGGCACTAGAAACGTTTGGTCTTCCAACAAATGCTACAGAGTAAGTTGTACTGTTTGTTCGCATCTTATCAATCAATCAGTTTATTCAATCTACCTTTCTGGAAATATAGTAACAAGTATTCAAAATTCTATTAACAATAATTGTACAAATATGTAATAAAAGAAATAGTGATTGCAGATTTTATAATTGAATGTATATATATCCAGAAGGAAGACACCTAAAGAAGAAACCATAGGCTTATATTCTTAAGGTGTCTTATATAAGCTTGGGTAATTTAGATATAATTATTTGATGAAGCATGAAGGTGTATATTGTCATATATAAAAATGAATATATAGAAATAAGTACATATTAGTACATACATATGCACATGAAGTTAAAGTTAGAAAGTATTAATTTACAATGATCAGTAATTATAAAGAGTTCATTTACAATCTTGTGCACACTTTGAGCAAGGGTTGTACCTTGTGAGTTCTGTAGCACTGAATCCCTAGCTGGGAGACTCTTTGCATATCATGCAAACAAATTGAGTGAGAGTTATACTTAGATCTGTATCCCCAGCACTAAATCCCTAGGGGTTCAAAACAATAATTTATGAGAAATTATCATGTTTTGGCCTCCAGACGAGGGGATTACTTTAAGGGGTCTCTGAGAGATGTTCCTCACATTATCTGTATATCGTTTGTTTCTGTTAGAGAGTATTCGCTATGTGAAGTCACTGTAGAAGAACATGGTCTTGTACGACAAAGGCGTCTACCTGATACTCTAACAAACCTGGCTGATCGAATTGGCTTGAATGCAAGGTAAGAAATAAGCACGGGGAGGGAGGTCACATGCTCCCCCAAAAGTTTGCATTTGGCACTAAAATGTATCTAATTTATGTGGGATTCCTGTGGATTTGGTGGGAATGGATACATTGCCCCCCTTTAATCAACACCCCGCTACACCCCTGTAGAAATTCGTGAATAAAAACAATATCAAGCTAAAATATAATATAATCTCAATGTCTCTCACTAAGTATGTGACCCATAATCCTTTGTCTTTGTTTCACAGATATTACTTAAAGAATAACATGGAGACTGCGCAGTTGTTACAAGGAGATGCAACGCAGGTAAGAACGATGTAACCAAGCCTTCAGGAGTTAGTTCTGAGCCAGCAGTACAAAAGGCCAGCATGTCAAAAAATATCTCGCCTATATCAAGATGATTTTATTCTTTTTGTGCGTTTTTTTCTAACAGGAATTAGCAAAAGAAGGACAAGTGACTTTGTTAGGATTAAATACTCAAGAGGTAGCGAAACAACTTACTTTAAAGGTGAGTATACGGTCATAATTGGACTTTGCGCACAGATATAACCCTGTAATAGACCCTTCTCTAAATTACCTTGGATGCTAGCCTATCATCAAACACAGAAGGAATCTCAAAATAAATTCCATTGGGAAAAGTAGCATTCCTGTGTATTTTCATCACATACAAAATAATTTTGAGAGGGCCCTTAAAGGGCACTTGGATGAAAACGCCCCAATTTTTGAAAGTAATAATAATTGAAGTATTTGAGGATAATTTGACTCAATTATGATTACGTAAAACAGATTAGTGAAAATTTTCGCCTGGCAGCCACTTGCAATTGAGAAATTTTGGGTTAAAAGAGAAAAGAACAATAGGGTTGAGTAAATGACGTCATTTACTCACAATTTAGATGCTGAATCCGACACATTTTACTGTGAAGAAAATATGTTGCTTGGCTACTATTGGGACCATATAGATACGTTTAACTAGTTTAAAGTCATTTCCAATTTTTTTAAAATTTTCATCCAAGTGCCTCTTTAAATTCTAATTCTTGAGGTTAACATTCTATTCTTTTGTCCTCCCAATTGGATTGCAATGTTAATATGCTTCTAGGGGTTTATATACTACAATATAATTAGGTTAAACAAGCTTATGGGCCATATATCATCTTTCATCTCCTTCAGGATTTCGAGTTGTTACGAAGCGTAGATTCCCGCGAGTACATCTATGATGTCTGGGAATTCCCTCCAGAATTATGGACCAATCTAAGCAAGTTCTCAGACGTGAGTAACAAATACTTAAATAAGTTTTTTATTATTTGTATTACTACAAATAAGATAAGAGTGATTTAGCAGATCACCTGCGGTTTCGTGTTTAACATACTAACGTGTAATCTGTTTTGTACCGATGGCAGATTGTTAACTACGAGACGATGTGGGTGGTCACCGAGATCTGTAGTGAACCTAGTCTAGTCAAAAGAATGAAGCTTATCAAACACTTTATCAAAATAGCAAGTAAGTGGCTGACGACCCTGTTACCATATAAACATCTGCTTGTTGCTATAGGAACACTGGCTGACGACCCTGTTATCATAGAAACGTCTCCTTGTATTAATAGGAACACTGGCTGACGACCCTGTCACCATAGAAACAGCTCCTTGTAGCTATAGGAACAGTGGCAGACGACCCTGTTATCATAGAAACCGCGCTTCGTTGCTATAGGAAGTGTTTTCAACCTTAATATGTTTAATGCATACTTACGGTCTAATTCTTCATTTCTTTCAGAATATTGTAAAGACTGTAAAAATTTTAACTCTGCATTTGCGATTATAAGGTGAGATTTACTGACGAAAACAAAACTGTGGCCTCCCTTGCCAGCGCAACATGTCGCCATGGTAATAATGGCGTCATTATTCGGTTGTACAGTGATTCTCTGTTTGTTAATGGTTGTACTTTTTGTCTTTATACAGTGGATTGGCTAACATGTCTGTAAGACGGTTAAAGAATACATGGGACAGACTACCGACTAGATATAACAAGATGTACGAGGTGGGTCAGTCAGTCAGTCAGTCAGTCAGTCTGTCAGTCAGTCAGTCAGTCAGTCAATCAGCCAGTCAGCCAGTCAGTCAGTCAGTCAGTCAGTCAGTCAGTCAGTCAGTCAGTCAGTCTGCTTCACTATTGACAATTTTTAAGGCCAGTGTATGCGGGCTTAGCCTCACTTCTGAGGTCGGTAAACAAAAGCAGAAATCAGAGAACAAAACTAGCAACTCCTGGATTCGAGGCTAAGCCCGCACATACACTGGAGAGTTAAGTGCAAATGAACCCTTCGGCAATACTTTCAGTACTGATTCTACACGAAGTAAATAGTTGAATGGTAAAATATTTCTTGATTTNGTCAGTCAGTCAGTCAGTCAGTTAGTCATCTTTCTCATTCTTATTCTCATACAATTGAATACTAATCTTATACGATTTTCTCTATAGGATCTCGAGAATCTGATGGATCCTTCGCGCAGTATGTTCAAGTACAGAAGTCTCGTAAACAGCGCAAACGTTTCACCGCCATTGGTAAGTGACGTCACTCACCCTCGTTTTTATTTCTTCAACCTTTCCATATATGGTCATCCACCCGAAGCATTGCTAGGACAAACAGAATCAAAACATTCTGATGTGATCAGTAATATCCCAGAATATTTGTTTCAATACTCAGGCCTGGTTACCTAAATATGACGTAGATTAATATCAAAAAGGGTTGTCATAGTAACCATTCTTGTATCCTTCTTCGACAAAGATGTCAGTCTCCACAAAAACCGCAAACTGATTTCACGTGAGACAGTAGAGATGAAGAGCGTTGAGATGTATTTCACGTGAGACAGTAGAGATGAAGAGTGCTATTAAAGCTGATTATATTTCTGCTTTTAGATTCCGTTTTTCCCCGTCATTAAACGAGATCTGACTCTGATTTACCTCAACAATAAGAGCGTGGTTGACGGCCTTGTAAGTACTTCACTTTCATTTTCCTTCAAATAAAACGATTGATTTTCTTTTTAATCTTCAAACCCACGCTTAACAGATTTTATTCAAGCTCTTGACGTTATTTATTACGTTATTTTCGCGGTCTGCACGACAGACGCTTCAAATCACAAACCGGAAATCAAGACTGAAACTACTGAGGCAGTCTCCATGGCAACTGGGGGATTTTTTCACCGAAAAAATTTCCCGCCAATTTGGAACATACTGGCACAGTGTTTTGACTCGTAAAGGAAGTCATATGTGAACGAAGTGCTTCCTATTTACTTCCTGCCGAACTGGGGATTTTTTTTGGAGCAAGATAAATCACCCGTAGTATTTTACCTCAAAAATGTTTTTGAAGATATTGCTGAAGAAGCAAGTTATTCTCACTGAGATAATTTTGACTAGAAAGAAAAAAAAAATCCGAAGTCATAGTGTATTTGAGTTCCACGGAAATTGAACTAGAAATTTACCCGGAAGTAATTGTTACTTCCTCTGAACCCAGCTTCATTACGCTTTTCTCTACCAAAGGCTGCTTTTGAGTGGTTTGAGTGGCCGCATTACGCGACCAGGTTGCGAATTCAAATGATTTCTCTTTCATTTTTTTAATCTTCAGGTGAATTTCGAGAAACTTCGTATGATAGCAAGAGAAGTTCGACAAGTCGTCAAGTGTCATTCAGTACCATATGTAAGTATCCTTAATTCTTCAACAGAAGTCGTTTTCACAGGGTTTTTTTTAGAGTAGGAAATCATCAGTAAACCCTGTCATTCCTTCCTAGGACCCCGCGACCATGTTCGACCAGGATTCTAATGCCTCCCAGAGTAAGACATCACAAGTCGTTGGCATGGTAACCAGTGGTACCACGTGGGGACGTCGATCTTTAGCACGTGACCAGAACCCGAAGAAAATGTTTGAAGAGGTTCATACGCTTCATTATTTCATTATTAAACAAAAAAAAACATTCAATTATTATGACGAAAGACCTTTTCCATAGGGAGAATAGTAAAGAAACTCGTGGGATTGTGGGGCAGAATAGGTCCAAAATGGTTGAGATTTTTGGTGAAAAGTCCACAACACATGCGGTACGAGTTCGTTACCAGTCTTCCTTTCACATCTCTGTATCTGATCACGTGACCAATATTCAAACTCAAATGACTTGACTTTGGAAAAACAGTTCAACAATTGATATCTAAATTACGTACTCATTTGTTGCAGGCTGTGATGACAAGGCGTGTCCAAAAATACCTGGACAATCTTCTCGTTATTCTAGATGAAGATAAACTACGAGAAATGTCCAATGCGTGTGAACCCGCACAGGGGTCGGGTGAGTAGCTATTGACATACCGTGACACGTGACAAGAGCATTGCGTTACATGTGATTAATATTCTATTTTCTTGTGTACTTCAGGTCCACCTAGTGTACAAACTAGACGGAAAAACTCTCCAGCAACCTCTCCTACAGTAGTGAAGAAAGAAAAGAAAAACAGCAACAGACAAACAGGTAAAACCATTGGTTAATATAAGAGAATATTAATGATTACTGATTTGAACTAGTTTGAGATTAGATTATTTATCTTGTTATTAAAAATTTTGTTTATTTATTTATTTTCTCTAGAACCTTCGCCTCTTGCTTCAAGAAGAGATCAGCCCATAGCTCGTAAGTACTTGTCAAGATTGACAAAACATTATTAGGGGAGGGGAGGGCAAGGACGAAGTATCCACACAAAAAAATAAGTGTATTCTATTACTCTTTTGTTCCCAGTCTCACTGCGGTCTTTTGAAGTGCTTGTTTAACTGGTACCCAGTTCCCCTCCCATCCCATCATGCATGACATTTTTCTAGGCTGCTTACGATTTTTTAATTGTTTTCAGCTGACCGCATATCTGTCTCCTCTACAACAAGTACATCGTCGTCTCTCCCTGATCCCCACTCGCCCAGACCAGTCTACGAACCACGTAAGTGTTGATGGTGTTGCACCACTCATTACAAACCACGTGACCACTTCCTTGAGCATCACGTGGCTAATAGAAGACGCTCACTCATCTTAGTACAGCACTGTCCTATTTCAGAATATATGGTCATTTTTAAACAAAGTTGGCTTTAGTAATTCTAACGAATAACAATCTGGGCTCGGTTGTACGAAGGGTGGATAGCGCTATTCGACGTATATATCTTATCCAGTGGATAATTATTGGATACCAGCATCGATTTATCCACTGGATAAGGATTCATCCATCGAATAGCGCTATCCACCCTTCGTACCAAGAGATTTCCAAATACGATAAAGGCTTTGATTTTGGCTTTGATTTCTTTGATTTTATTTTGAGCTAAAATAAGATATCTTCTCTAGCACTATGGTAGGTAAAAACGATATACTCGAGGGAATGCCTTGATGCACTATTTCGCTCAGCCGTCTTGAAATTCAAACAACAGGGTTCTAATCAGTAGTTTGTCTTTAATACTTTCAGCAACAGACGTTTTCCATGAATCCGACTCTTCTTCTTCTCTACGTGAAGAATTCAAAGTACCTTCTTCTCTACGTGAAGAATACCAAGTACCAGACTCGCGGGTAACGACGTTACCTCACGGTTATAGCAGCGATATATCAATACGATGCACCCAGACACACGGTAGGTCGGGTCTTTCTTCTTTTTTTTTTTCTGTCGGATGTTACATGAAAAAAAAAACGCGTTCAAAATTCAAGGGGGTATAAGAGAGACGACGGTGAGGTATATTGAGATAAGGAAGTAAACTCCGTGACTCACCAGTTGCTTGTTTGTTGTACACAGAACATATAGAAACTAGAAGAACTAGATTTGATTACCCAGGTAAGAAGAAGGAAATACTCAAAATAAAATATTTATCTCGTGAAAAATGTTTCCATGGAGACATCAAAATGTTGAGCTGGTGAGAAAAGCTGTTCCAGTGTTGGGTGTCAATAAAAGCCATCAAAATGTTGAGCTGGTGGAAAAAAGCCATTCGAGTGTTGGGTGTGTGTAAAGCCATCAGAATGTTGAGCTGGTGGAAAAAAGCCATTCGAGTGTTGG